GCCTGTAGTGTGAGTCCAATTGGCCATCGGTGTCGTTTGAATCAAAGATGACAGTGTGATGTTATTGACTGCTGGCCTCTCCTGTGCAGTCAGAGCTGCATGCAGCCAGATTAGCTTGACTGAAACAAGTTGCCCCAATTAGTCATTTTTGTCATTGATCAAATTTACTTCTTGCTATCTTTACCCTTACCTTAATGAAATTCAGATTTAGTAAGCTACTTTTATGCATAACTTGGTTACACCGGAGCAGCTGGATAGTGGTGTCCAGTTAGCATTTTGGTAGGTTTAGGTGGATGTCAAATGCTATTTCGGAGCAGATAGTGCTGAAATAAAAAATATACAGAACTTTAAAAAAAAAAAAAAAAAAAGCCAGCAACAACCAAAACCACCACCACCACCACCACAGACACAACCAAACACTTCCCCCACAACATCATTTACTAGAATTTCACCGGCCATCTCTTTTCTCTAATCAAATCTTCAGAGTTTCACTGTGCACGTTTTGTCCCTTTATCTAAAATCAGCATTAGTTCTGCATGTGTTTGAGTGCTTTCAGGTTGCTAGGTTTGGTCAAATACAGCCAAGTTCTGTTTCTTATTCCAAATGACTGTTTTTGAAACTCCCTGAGAGAGAGCTCCAAGGTAAAACACTCAATAATTACCTGCTTTCTGCACTCCATTGGTGGTGATGTGTACCTGACATTCAGTTTTGGTGGGATGATCTAATGAAGTTCTCAGACTTATTTCAGATAATAAAAAATAATCTCATTTCGTGAGAGATAAACATGGATAAATTGTCAGATTAATAACCTGTCTCATGTCTGCCACGCTTTCTGTACTGCTTGAAATGGTCACTGTATGCATGATTTATGAAGACAATATCACCTTGAGGAGTAAATGCAGTGTCACTCGGGCAAGATGAACGTCTGTATGGGTTTCAGTTGAGAAATCTAATGTTAGAGCAATCGGCTACAATGTTTACATAGTCTGTTGTATCATCTTCTATTGTTCAGACTGCCTGTGCTGTCGTGATTGTGCGTTTTATTTTCTGGTACAAAAGGATATCTTACTGAAAAAAAGAATTGGGCTAAGACTCTTTTTCTATAGGTGAATCGAAAGCAAGGTTCTGATTTCAATAAGTGCAATGCAGTGAAAAGCACTAATGATCACATCAGTGTGAAGGACACTTTTTCTCAGACACAGAGAAATGTACAGGGCAATTCTAGGGAATAAGACCCCAGACCAGATAGGTTAACCTGAGTTAAACCTGATAATTATTAGGCCAAATCTCCCCGTTACTTGCTCTAAGCATTAGTATACTTGACTTCTACTAGGTGTACAGGTGTTGTTGTGAATTGATTGTAGAAACAGTTCAGCTATTTGACCTTTCATAGAAATAGCTAAAATTGTGCCCTATGGTCTTCAGTTGCATATCTATACCTAGGCTGGCATCACTGTCATGTGGCTCCTCCTTGGCTACATCATGATACCCAGAAAGGGTTATGCTGCCTGAATGTATCCTTGAAACAATGATAAAATAACTTTTTTCTTGTGATCATACTGTACATTAGTCTATATCCATGAATTCCAAGGTGAACTGTAGCCTGGAGCTTTCATTTGTTAGCAAAGGAGCCACCTCCACTAATGTTTAATGGGTTGGGACAAGCTCTTATAATGCAGTTGCCTTAGGCTGCTTCCCTGTACTTGAACTTAATCTTAACACCTTTTGCAGCTGGTGACACTACTTATGTTTGGATATGTTGAGAGGAAATTTCTTGTATTAAGTGAAAATAAATCTGGACAGGAATCCCAGATTGGGAAGAGAACTGTGGAAGAGTTGGATTCTGAGCACCTCTTTCATTTTTCATAACTTGACAGCATAATTTTAGGCTCCAGGAAAAAATGATGACACTGCTAGAAAAGATCACGGGTAGTCCTATAAAGCAGAATGTGAAACATAGGGCCAGCAGTACAGTAATAGATGAATTTAAACAGAAGAATTCAAGTTTCCTACAAGGCAGGCGTGTAATGGAAAAATTGATCACTGCAATTCTGTTGAATGTTTCAGGTTTTTCCTTTTTTTTTTCTTCTTCATAGTGGATTGCAGAACATGGAAAAAGCTTGTTTATATGGCTGGGTAAAACTCAATGAAGTCTAAAATGCCTGGAAAATTACTTCTAAAGGCTTGTCTATTTGGAAGGTATTGGATATCTATGTTCCTTGCTACATGCAAATAAGTTGTCTGATGAGTTATGTGTAGGAATGGAACTTCCAAAAGTGTTGTTATTAAGAGACATTGCTTTGGAGACATTCGTTGAAACAGACAAGAAAATACTTTTTACAAGGCTGAATGTTTCTATTTGGTTAGTCATAAAGCAAACATGATTTTTATTCTCTGGCATGAGTCATAGTTAGCTGTATCAATCCCTTCATAATGTATTATCCAAATGGCTTGTTGGCAATAAGCAAAGCTTAATCCTGTTATGTGTCAGTATGTTCTACGCTATCTTGTCCTTACTGCCCAAGGATTCAACGCTTCAAAATACGTCACGATTTAATTGAAAAGTAGAACCGGTGTGTGTTTGCTGTTCTTAAAACTTGAATCCATTGTGTGTGTGGATACACGTTTAGTTTTTTTGCCTTTATTTGGATGGGTAGTCTTGAAAAATTTGAGCAAAAGGGACCAGTGGCAGGTCAATCCCTACTATAGCTAAGCACGAAACATAGATGTTGACTCCAGTGTATTCTTACAGCAGTATTGTGCTGGGAACCATCTGAGAAGTCTGTAGGCTTGTCTGGTAGGTACCATTGCAGGAAGCCAGGAAAATTGCTCACCTTTCTTAACCAGCAACTGCCTTCTTGGGAGGAAACGTAATTACATCCGTCTTGCCATGTGAAGCTTGGGTCATTGTTCAGTGTGCATGGATACGTGCAGAGGTTTTGAAGTCACCACAAATAACAGTGCCAACCTGAAAATAATCCCTCGAAGCAATGCGAGCTCAAACTGGCTGTGCTGTGACTGTCTCTTTTGTTGTGCTCTGAAAACAAACTACTGCTGCATGCAGATGCTGTTCTGGTACCACTGAAATTAAAATGAGTAGATCAGACTGCGATTTGCATGGTAATGTTTCTTTCCCCCCCAGTGTTTGGCTGGACTGTGCCCAACTACCAATGTCATTTCTTGCTGGGAAGAAGAAATTAATGTCTGTCAACTCAGTGATTCAAGGTAACCAGTGTCAGTAATAGGCAATGATAAATACAAATAAAAAACATAAATAAAAAACCCTCACTTTTCTTTAATTTGGAATTCCAGATGATGTTGCACTACCTGAGCTGGCCAAACTCATTAGTTCATTTATTACACAAAGAAAGAAAGAAAAACTTTTTAAAGCAATGCATCTTTGATATTCCCTGTATTCTTTTTATAATCCTCTGTAATTCTTACATATCTCTTCACACATGTGGATTCTTATATTAACATCTTTCTTTTGATAGGTACCCTTAGCACGTAAAACCTTGTTTGCACAGATTTTCTTTTCTACATGTGCTTCATACGCATGTAATCAGTAGATAATTGTACATAGGTTTATGTGGCAAGTGTGCTCATGCTGCTGTTGTCAGTAATAGTGTTACCCCAATGGGAGGGGTAACAGAGGCAAGCATTAATATACTGTGCTGTACAAACAGTGCATATATGTGGATCCTTCTTACTCTGTGAAAACCAACAGCAATAGATCATTCAAAAGGCAGATTTCCTCATTAAGTTACTCATCTCCCTGTGTACAGCTTGCCATAAACATACACACAACCTAAGCCTCTCTTCAAATGATGATTTGTTAGTCCAGATAAAATAAAATGCTCCCGAAGTCTTCATCTTCATTTGTCATTAAAAATTTTATTCCTCTCACAGTTGTTGGTTTTTATTGCTGTAGTAAAGATTTTTAAGTAAAATAGATTTGGGAGCGGAGGGATAGAATAAGCATCTGAACTTGACATAACAAGTGCAGTGTTGCTGGTTTTTTTCCACATAGGTAGTGAATGCATTGTGCAACTGTACCAAAAAAGTCTGTCAGATGTAAGCATGACCATATGATTCTATCAGTTTGTGTGTCTGTAGATCAAACTGAAAAAAGCAGGGTGATGGAAAAGGAAATGGAAGGAGAAAGTCAGGTCTTTGATGTGAATCTAGCTGGAAGATTAAGTTCTTTAATATTTCCTAGAGCTCTCTAACACTAGTGGAGGGCTGAATACAATTTCTACTCGGCCTTTACCTTGGCCACATTTTGGAATTAACCTCCATAACCACGAGGGCTCAGATCTTTATGATATCCTTTCCTCACGTAGTGAGTGTTTGTGGCTTCCTTAACTACATGCAAATAAACTCTACCAATTTGAGTACCATCACTTTTTAGAGCACTCAATTAAATGATAAGGAGAGCATAACTCAAGTTACTGGTGGTGTTCTTCGTGCACACACAAGTAATAATCCCATCGCTATCAGAATCAATACTTTCCTCTACTTGCACTGCGAAGGCACCTGGTTTTCCCTGGATCACTCCTCGGTGAGACCTGTAGGGAGGAGCTCAGCAGCACCAGTCTGTTGGCAGAGCAGTCCCAGCCTGTTTGGTGCTAGCAAAAAAAGTGACTTTGCCTGAAAGTCTGTTACCTCTGATTGGGCAGCTGAGTGGGTGGAAGGCAGGATGGGGGCTGCAGCAGCGACACAGTGATGAGGAACAGAAGGCAGATGGATGCTAACGGGCTTCATGGAACAGTGGAAGTTGTTATCTTTCTGAAAGTCTCTGAAACATCCACTTCACTGAGTGAAAAATGTTTGTAGAAATGAAATTTTGATGTTAGTCAGGTGAAACATCAATAATCTTTCAATGCAAACTATTTTTAGGCCACTTTAGACACTTCTCTGTTATAATTGAGAGCAACAAAGAAACGTGGGATGTTTGAAGGGAAAGCGAGGTGTAAATCAATGCGTGTGATGCACAAAACTATCTGTATAAGTAGTTTTTGTTTTATTTGGACATTTGTAAATGTAAAATGATTCAGGAAAAAACACCTTAGATATTTGTACACTTGTACAGTGCCTGTTCTGGTGAAATTCTGAAATTGGTTGCAAAATACAAATCATTAAAATTACTGAGACATTTAAGTTCATTTGAGACTTGTCCAGTACAGCCTTCCATCTTAACTATTGAAATTATTTATTTCACATGGTTGAAGGACATGTAGACAAGGATACCACATCCAGAGTAGGTGTGAAGATTAACAAAGGCACAGCAGAAGGTATGGTATTCTATTCTCCCAAGAGATTTTTGCTGGAAAATTAGGCACTGTCTTCTCTATATAGAAGAGGAACAGCTGAATGACAACACTTAGAATATTTTCTGCATGTGAAATTGAATCTAATTGTTACCGAAATAAACAAGTGCAAATTGTTTGCAGCAAAGAAAAGAACTATCCTGGTGGGCAGGAAGTTGCATTTACTCCTACTTGTTACTATAAAAAAAAGATTTGATATTCTTGGTGACTATGAAGATTAAACCAGAGATTTATGTTAATGCAAAGGATTAAAAGAATCTTAATAACATGCATAAAGATGCAAATGTTCGCCTGCATTTTATCTGCTTGCAGATGAATATGCCATAAGGGAGATACTAAATGGGGAGAACGCATCCTCTCTCAGAATTGGAACATCTGGTTTAATACTGCACTCACATGGTGACTGAGTATTAATTGTTTTCACCAATGTGTTTTTTGAACAGTGTGATAATTTCTTTTTTTTTTTTTAAATTATGAGGAAATAGCAATATTTGACCAACTTCATACATAATGCCTGTTTAGTGTGTGCTTGGGGCGCTGCAGATTTTGATGAAGTATATCTATTCCATATTTGTTTATTTGTCTATCCTGTAATTTCCAAAGATTTCATTTTCTAACTAGTGAAGAACTTAAAATATTACATTTGCTGTCGAGCTTACAGCTTTGTTCCCCCAGTTCCAAACTGTCCTTCACTGTAAACACAAGCCATACCAGCATGGAAAATTATGTGCTTTATTTGGGAGCCCTGACATATAGTATTATTATACACGTATGTACTTACACATCATAAATGATTTGAAAAAGGAGGCATTTAAGGTGAAGGTGTAAACATCACTAACCACTTATGTTCTGTTTTAGGATTGTTTTCCTGTTCTTTGATCAATTCTTACTAACAGACGTGTGTATAAACAGAAGCCACCTGGGTTTGTAATGAAGTTCAACTGAAACGGGAAGTGTCCCAGCACTCAAATCAGTATAAATCTTCAAAAGGTTTTGAGTAGTTAAACATCAAATAATCCATGTAGTAAAAGTCATAACTTTGTTGCCTTTGAGAGGGAGAAAGTTGTGCAAAGTACTGTTGTGTGATTTTAGTGGTAGTTCTTTCTTCATTGGAGTGCCTATCTTTGAACTTAGGGAAAGTCAAATTTTGTGGAGCACCAATTAGGTGCAAGAAAAAGTTTGCATCTTCTTCCATACTTTCAAATTTCCCCACAAAGTCGTAATCTATTAGACATGGGCTGCAAAGCCTATTGACGTGATCCCAGTGGATGTCCATACCCACTGGCCTATGTACATCCAGGAGATATTGAATGAACTCTTTAAATTTGACTCCGGAGCCTGTCCTTAATGCTTCTTTGGTGGCATTGACACGGTATCTGGAAATGATGGCTTTTCCAAATACGGGATGATAGTAATTGTTTGGGTGTTCGAACTTGTCCCGAAATGCAGATACCAGCTTTTCAAAAGGTTCCCGAATAAAAAGCATCTTTGTGTAAGTGTTGAGCCTGTGATAAATTCCTTTGCGGTCAAACCCATCCAGCCTTTTTAGATAGTTGCCGTAGTGCACTGTGTTGTGTTGTATATCTTTAGTGGAAGAAGCCAGCCCATTGAGAACCATGAGCACCCGTTTCCAGTTAGAGCAGCCAGCTTTTGGTACTTCACAGTACAAAACTCTGTATTTGTCTTCTACAAATATTCTAGAAACGTGGTAAGGAGTGATTATTCTTCTGTTATTACTCTTGTACTTAGAACAAGTTTCCTTCATTATTTGCTTTCTTTTGCTTTGTATCTGGTAGAGACTTTTCCATTTGTTATTTCTGTCGTCGGATTTAAGTGTGGGCAAGTTAAGAGTGGAACTGTTCATGGAAATCAGAATTGGGCTCTTCTTAATTACAAACCTCCTCCTCCGTTTATGGAGCCTCACTGAATTAGTTTCCTCACTTTTCTCTTGGTAATCTTTCATAAACATTGTGCTGCTTTGCCTTCTGTCTATGCTTTGAAGCTTGGAGGGCACATTTTCAGATGGGTGTAATGAACCACTCAGCTTTACTGTTGCTGCCCCGTCTGCAGTACTTTTTCTTAATCTTCTATCCTGGTTATTGCTGGAAACGCAGTCCTGATAGAAAAATAGATGAAAGATGTTACTGAATGAGAGACTTATTTGTCACTATTAGCAGCTTGTGCAACACAACATAGATCTTTTTGTACAGCTGTGATTGCACTGCTCCAAGTCCTTGGTGCCTGTGCTGTGCAGCTGACTTTTCTCTATGCTTACGCCCATTCTGAAGGCTGATATGAGCCTGAATTGGTAAATTCTGGTTCAGATTTGGGTTTTGCTATATTTTACTTGGTGCCTGTGCCCATATTTTGATACTTTTGCCCCTTTAAATTCTTTTGGTGGAAATGTCAGCATATTTTGAGGACTTAATTTTTCCAGACTGCCTGTTGTCACACATCTGTTCCATGTTTTGTCCCCCACCCCTTTCTTTCAGTATGGTGTCTTTGCACGGAAGACAGTTGTTCCCAGAGTGAAGTCTTCCAGGGGAAGAAGGGTAATGGGGCTTGTGGAGTAAGGATGTGGAGGGCAAAAGAGTGGGACGAAGAAAACAAAGAACTGCAGTGAGAAGATGGAGCCTTTAATGAGTAGAAGGGGATGGGGTAAGAGCAGCATGAACAGGGAAAAGGGGAGCCTGGAGTGAGGTGAGTTTGGAGACCAGAACAATTCTCACTTGATGAAAAGCAGCAAATGATAAGAATGAAGCTTGACTGGGATTAGGAGAGTGAGAACAGAGCAAGCAAAGTGAGTCTCTGGATAAGGAGTTTCTGGGACCTGCTCTCTTTCATTAAGAGGATCTCACTGGTTAATATTCCTCTTGGCACACAGCCTGGGTGTATTCCGCTACTTCCTGCTTCTCAAAGCAGCTGAATTAAATCCCTGTCTACAAGTCTTTGCCTCTACAGCTGAAATTATGTTCTGGATATACTTGAACTCCTTGTCAGCCCTGTTCTGAGGAGTCATATGGGAGCTGAGTGGCGTAGGAACCATAGGGAACATTTCAACAAAGAAATACATACAGCTGTGCAGTGTATATTGTTTATCAAAAATATTTAATGTGTATGTAGTTGCTTTATAAATCATAAAATTCAGATTTTCCAGTCTTTGTTTGCCTCCTAATAGCATTTAAGTGACTTGAAAAATCAGATATTGGAGGAATTTTAAGGTATACACATGGGAAACAAAATTGGTAGAGTACTATGCAATTTGTTATGGCACTTTGTGCTGTAGAATTTGGGCTTCTAGAAAGCTTTGTCTGTTCTGGTAATGGTGGTTTTGTGACTGGGAAAGCAGCTGATGATTTGTTACACAAGACGCTATCTATTCAGCTGTCGAGAATGATAGTTCTCTCCTTATCTTGAGAGGCTGCTTATAGTGGTCAAATGTGTATTGAAATTTTTGTCCAGGTAAAATACAGGATGTGACACATTATTTCTAACTATTATCCTTCACATAGTGGCAGAAATTTGATTTTGCTTATTCGCGATATCACTGATATTTCATGTTTATCAGATTCAGACTTCCGAGATATTTACAGCGTGGTAACAAAGAACCTCCTGGTTTTGAGAAACTGTCACGATTTGAACGTGTTCTGTCAGTGTAATTCTTCCTCCAGAAGGCCAGGCTGAAGCTACAGAGATGGAGGGATGTCATTCGGATCTCACTGGTTTCATAGGCAGTGGCTTTTGGGTAACAGCTGGCAGCAGCGCAGTTGTTCCTTTGCATACTTTGCGCTGGGGCTTGACCTGAAACCGAGTAGCTGCTGTGGGCGGCCACTGCTGCTGCGAGTGTGTTAGTAGCCACTAGATGGAGGAATTTCACCAGGATTTTTCTTTGGCTTATTTTTAAGTGCATCTCCTTTGCTCAGTGCAATTTCACAAAATATTAATCGAAGTTTACAGTACCTTTTAGCAATATCCAGCCTAGGAAAAAAGCTCATAAAGCTAAAGTTGAGTAGGTTATAAAATTCATGTATTAAGAGGAAAACTTGCACTTAATGGCAAAGCTTTGATGCATATTTCTGTTTGAGAGCTTCATCTCTAGTCTAGTGATGTTATCTGACCCAACTCTATTCTTATTCTAAACTCAGAATAGAGATACAATTCTCCTTATGTACTTCTGGAGACTTACTTTTTTTGGTTGCTGGAGTCCCATGTTATATTTTATCCCTAAACAAAGAAAGAAATTACAGTCATTATTTAGTAAAAATGCACATACGTTAATTTTGCTTGACTGATATCAATGTGTGTCCTCTCAGTAACTACAGGGAGAACAGAAACATGTTGGTACAATGATGTATGGACCTATGATGAACTGAAATTAGTGTGTATTTCATAGTAACAATACTCCTTTGAAGGACCCTTTATATATGAAAAGCCATTGTGAAAGGAAGTAAATGTCATTATCCCTTTTCTACAGATGGGGAAACTGAGATGGAGGAAAAGTCTACTTAACCTCAGTGAATGGGCCAGCAGAAGAACAAAAAACTCCTGATTGCAGGTTAGAGCTTTAAGAAATGCTGTTCTTTGTGTGTTTACCTAAAGCTGCATTAGCATTCTTTTCCTAAATTTTCCCAAACTTTGGACACTAGGGTGCTTAATCACAGCAGTAGTGTGCACTGAGTACTATCTTTTGCTGTAAAACCAAAGCAATGCACAATGGCCTTACATGTAAGAAAGAACTGTGTTTTGCTGAATCTTCTGTCTTATATAGTGTGCCTGTCTGCCTGAAAACATAGTGATAAAGATGTGAAAATCCTAGACGAGAGCTCTGTAAGAGACATAGGATCTTTTTGTTGTTCCTAACCTCTGCTAGTATAATAATACAGAATGCATAATGGAAAACATTTCTTAATTATAAAATTAGTTCAGAGCTTCTCAGCTTATAACAACCAGCATTTGCTGCCAGTAGTTCCAGTTTAATAAATCTGCATTACAAAGCCACAACATTTCAACAAGGACAGTTACAGGTAAAGGTGTTGCAAGATACTCTAAGTGAAAGCACCACTGAATAGCTCAGTACGGGTTCGTTTTCATAATGCTGTGAAAGCTCTTGCCCGCCTACTTATTCACACTTCAGTTAATTGCAGTTAAAGTAGTTAGTCCAACTGATACAATCAATCATGGTGTTTTTGCCTCTTTTAAATCAAAACTACAAACTGGTGTTAATTGTAGTCTGAGTCAAATTGCTGAAGTTATTTCTGTGCTGTTGGAGCTCATCCTAGCAGTGCTTATCGCTTCTTTGATTCGTGTTTGAGTTTTAATCCTCAAAAACAAATGCAGCAATTTGTTAGTAGTAGCAGAAATGCTAAGTTATGGCTTGAAGCACTGATTGAGCACCTGGTGGAAAGGAGGGCCAACCCAGGGGAGCTCAGTGCATGCAGTGCACCTGAGTGACCAGAAGGGGTGGAGCCAGGATGCACCTTTTCCTAAACTCCTCATTTAAGGGCTGGCAGAGGAGGTGAAAGTTTCTTGCTGGAGTTTCCTGCCTACCTGAGGCCTTCTGGTAAGCAGGTAAGCAGATTCTTTCCTTTGTTTCTGTGCCTACAGCTGTTATGTTTGAGCAAGTCCTTGCTTACTGTGGCCTAGGACTTTGCTACTCTGCTGTCATGGCTATGGTTTCCATTGTGTGATAGTGTTACATTTGTAATAAACTCAAGGTGGATTATTAAAAGCAACGGGCATGTTATTTTTACTTTACCAGAAGTAGTTTTCAGATGCCTTACGTGAGTCTTAAGCTTTTTTTCTAGCTTATTTGCAGAAATGTTTAGCTGGAAATTAAGGAGAGAGATTCTAAGGAGAAAAAGAGGTGGTCTATAGCATCCTTGTCTGTGTTATGAAAGACTTAGGCTGGTTGTCTTGTACTAGGCTTTATGTTACTGACTTGCTGTCCAGTTCTTGATGTGATCAAATTAAGGATTTTCTCTTTTACCATTCCTGTGTACTGTTACAGAGCAATGAGGTTATGGAATCTGCTGTCCAACAAGCATTAAAAAAATTGAGCACCAGCACTTTATACATATTCATACTGGAGCCTGGATGATTGGGTTAAACCATAAATCAGTTCTGTTTGTCAGCAGATGTAACCTTCTGCTTGCTTTGTAACCCTGGAGGCATAACCTTAAGCCACTTGAGCTGAATTTGTGTTGGCTGCTTGGCCTATAGCCTAAGGCATCATTAATAAGGCTAGCTGGAGTAGCTGTCGAACTTTTACCTTGGGCTTTCTTATAGCAGAGTTTGAAATTAAATGTGTGTTTTCTTACAAATTCATAATATTGTTACAGTATTCCTTCTCTTGTAGGTAGAAATCATGTGTGCCAGTACAGCTGTGAAAAATTAATGCAGAAAAAAAAATTTAGTTTGTAGGTCGATTCTTCTGATTTCCAGAGTAAATTTAGTATAATGCACTTTGTATCAGTGTTGTTGTAAGAATTACTCACAGTGGCTACCAATTTCAGTTCTGCTTTTATACCTCTAAGTGTTTCATTTCTAAATCTCTCTTTAAACTGGTTTCAGTGTTAAATCATGCCTCATTCTCTGTCACAGAGGTATGGAAATGTACTTTGGTTTTTGGTAATGCCAAAATTCATAAGTGAAGGTTTACATATTTAAAATATTTATCCTACTGTGAATAATCTGTGCCTATGAGTGTAAGGCAGAGGAACTGGTGTTGCAACTATACCCAAAAGATAGGAGTTTGTAGGCATTGTATCTTATTTTCCTCTCAGTTTCCAAAAACTCTTTGAGATTTTTCCCAAATGAAAGCATGTATAGATGAGAAAGACCTGGTCACTAGTCAGGAAAGTAAACCATTGTTTTGGACTGAATGAAATGCAAGTATTTGAGCATTTACTGTGTCTAGATAGTAATGTAAGAGTTAGTGTTAAGTTCTTGACAGGTTTGTTTAGTTATAGTCATTTCTCTTGACATCAGTGGAAACAGTGATAGTTTATAGCAAAATCACATCCTCAGTGTAATTACCCATAGAAGTCTGCATGTACCTGCTATGAATAATAATAAAAAAAAAGGTGCAAAGAGCAGCTATGGAACCCGTTTTTTTTTTTTTTTCTTTGATTAATTATGAGCTATTATGTTTCTGTAGCATCATTTCATAAAGGTAGCTTGTTTTAGGGACAAATATCTTGCACTCACAGGCTGTGCTTTGAAAAATTATAAATAAATACTGGTAGGCAATGAGTAACAGTTTTTGAAAATGATTCTTCCCTTACTGCCGTTCACACATAATCAGAACAACAATTCATGTTCAATGTAAATGTTTGGTGAAGCACTTGCCAATCTCTTCAATGTTTTCTGAGTTGTGACTTCTAAGAGTTGGCTTCTTCTAGCTGTCTTTCTCATAATACAGTCTGTCACTTCAGATTTAAAGGTACATGAGGGAAAAAACCTCTTAAGTTCAGTGGATTTGGAGAAAGCATATTGCACAGATCTCCTCTGCTAATCAAGTGTAAACTTAATGTTATGCTGCATCTTTGTGATCTTGGCAATAACGTTTGAGAGCTAGGAAGTAACGTGGATCGTAATTTGTCTTTGCTGTAAATAAAAGGCTGTTGTCTGCTGTGCCCAGGTATTTGATCATTTAACGTTTGGTGCCAGTATCTCACTAGTGCTCAGACAGAGAAAGAATAGCCAAGAGACAGAATCATTCTATCAGTTGTACACTGTTAATGTCAGCTTTTGTGGTGTTTTCTTCTCCCTCCCTTGTGCAACCGTGATTTTCCAAACCTGAGCTTGGTCTGCTTTTGTTGTTTTTCAAGAAATATGAGCCTTATGCTTCATCCATTCCTACCATACAGTCAGTTGCATTGTGAGCTTTTCCTTTTTTTTCTTTTTTTTTTTAAATGCTACTAGCAACACAATAAAATGGCCTTCATCTTCCCAGTGTAATATTATATAGCTTTGCCTCTCCTGCTTTCTCCTCTGTCTCTGCTTCAAGACCTAATTTTGGTTTGCCTGGAGTGGTGTTTTGCTCTGTTCTGAGACCGCACTGCAACTGAAATATTTGTTAATAAAAATGATAACTTCAAGTCTGCTTCTGCAACTCCTTTCCTTTAGTGGTCTTCTGTAAGCAGCATGTACTTGTTTGCTTCATCTTAATTGATTTTTGAGCTATGTATACTCTGGGGGGCTGTTCACGTCATTGCACGAACATCTGAGCCAAGTGTCCCATTCCCATGTGCTTACTCAGGGAAGACATCACATACTTAATCACAGAATCAATAGTGGATTAGTACTCAGAATTCTCATTAGTGTGAAAAATTGTCAGTTTCAAAAGGGTTTTCCACAGAATTTTGGTCAGAGGGAAAAAAAAAAAAAAAAGAACATGCAAAAAAGAAAAAAACTAGAAAAAGAACTGTTAGTTTGACTTGTATATACGAAATGCCCATTCCTGATCCCAACTTATTCCAGCATCTAATTGTTCACATATTTTAATTAAGTTACTTAAAATGGGAAAATGTAATTGCTATTGTATATGTAAAACCAAATATTTCGCAATAAAAAATATTGTTAAGTGTACATATTTGGAGTACTTTTTAATTACAGAAACTTTGTTAGGAAACAATTCTGTATTAAAATTGAGGCCTAATCAATCAGAAAGTACATGTGTATCTGTTGTACATGCAGGCATAGTAAGCAGTGAAGTTGTTATATCTAAAACTCAAGGGTTTTTGAGTGTTTTGGTTAATTGATACAATGCTGAACCACTGTCAAAGCTAAATGCTTAGTGACAAGACAGGCATCACAGTGTTTTACAGAGAACTATGAAGACATGCATTTCCAAGTCACTACAGTGTCTGACTTTGGCTTGTGTTTAATTTTATATTAATTTTTGCAGACAAGGCGAGAGAGTTTCACTCTCTGTGAATAGCAGGGTACATGGAGGAAGTTCTAAAGCCTCTTGATGTTTGACCAAGTCTGTCGTTCTTGAGATGAATGCAGTCAAATGCTGTCTTCATAGCACCTTTTATTCTTACAGAACTTAAAATCAGATCATTTTGGCAAATCAGTTATAAGTTGTCATGTTTTGAATTCAAATAGTAGTTGTCTTAAACCCCCATATTAGCTGATAAATTTTACTCTGAAGAATTTCAATCTCAACTGTGATTTTATCTATGTATTTTAAAGTAAAAACTAGATTAGATTTCTCCAAT